CTTCCGATCTGAAATGCTTTAAACTAAGGTGCCTACTTAACCCCTTAATCCTCCCCCTGCAAACGTGGGCAGGCAAAGGGACACACATGTGCCGTGAAACCCAGCAGTAATCATGAGTTACTTGAGAAGAAAGAAAAGCATTAATAAAAAAATAACCCTGAGGGATGGAGATGTGTGTGTGTGTGTGTGTATATATTATTTTAAAATCTGGATATTTATTTTAAAAAGTATAATTTAAGAGTTGCTCCTTTCTTGAGCAAGTCCTTTAGGGATAAGCATAAATAATAAAATAATATTTAATTGGCCATATATACAATCCTAACTTAAAGGTTTAGGGATAGGTCTGTCTCAAATAATTTAAGAACCACTCTGAATCCAACTTAGCAGTGACATTTGTTCACCTGAATTCACAAGCCTTCAAGGGAATATAAGAAAATAATTATTTAAAAACCACCAACTTAGGAATCTGAAGTGTAATGGGAACAGATTGAAGATGCACCACATCCCTTCCAGAGGAACTAGCCCAGCTCTTTGGGGGTTGCCAACACCCGCTCTCCAAAGGTTGCTTCCTTCCCCAACATCAACACCAATATTGCTTTTAGCCCGACGATCTTGTGCAAACGCTGTGCAGACAGTCCCTAAGAGTCCCCTAAAGTTTGCTGACCAGCCCCCCTTTTCCTTAACTGGTGAGGTAGGGGGAGAAATGCACGCAGCAGAGCTGGAAGGCGCAGCTGGCAGTCACAGCAGCCCCTTTTCGAAAGCCCCACAGACCTTCTGTCCTCCAACATCCACCACTTCCCACAGTGGGAGGTGCTTGCAAGCCACAGTTCCAAGGTCAAAGGAACGATGCACAGCCTCATGGGTTTTTTATTACTACTACTACTGCCAAAGTAAAATACTTGTGAATCTCAATGTAGAAGGGAAGAATGTTGCAACGGATTGTTTTCCTTTCCACGTGGCACCAGCGTGAACCTTGACTGCAGCCTTGCTTCTCCAGCAGCTTCTCCTGGTCGTTGCTGGCCCTCCAACTATTTAGCACCATGGTGGAGTGGCGATCTTGGCACAGCCACCATCTCAACAGGAACCTACGGTTTGCAAGTGCAGAAACCGCCGCTCATAGAGGAAGATGGTAGATCAGAGAACAGCTTTACAGCCATGCGGGCAAGAGAGATGTCACATCTTGCACAGCCCAAGACTCGGGCATCAGATCAGCCTTCAAAGGGCCGTCCAGACCGGGTTCCTGTCCCTCCTGTCCTCGTGCCTCAGTCCTTTCTCTGGACAGGCAAAGTTGCAGAACACACTGTTCTTATCCAAGGGGGATGCTGTCACAGTGGAAGGCTTCGGCTTTGGGGGATGATTCTACAGATGTGGCCGCAGCTGATCCGAGCCAGGATTCTGTCAAATGCTCCTATTAAGGCCACCCCGCTCCAGCCAGCAACGGACTCCCGGATCGAGGCTGTGGGTGGACACAGAGCTGTCCGAGAAGCAGAGGGCAGCTGTGCGCGCCTGCATAGATGCCTTGTGGGAGGAAGACAGGATGGAAGGCGCCGCCAGCTCCCCTCCTTCCGGGGCTGCGCCTGCGCTCTCAGAAGCGCCTTGGGGGCCTCTGATTCCTACGCAGAGGTCCAGAGGGAGGGAGGCTGCATCTCCTGGCGTGGGGGTGTGTGTGTTCAGGCGTGGGGGAAGGGGAGGCTCACCAGCCGGGAACTGGCAGCCCGAGAAACATGGGTACTCCACCTGTCCTGGACATGCAACCAGGTCCAAAGCCACCTCTCCTGGAGGCAAGAGTGAGTGGGTGGGCGACAGAGCCCCCTGCCCGAGAAGAGCAAGATGGCTCAGCTGCCGTTCCCTCACGCAGCCCTGGCAAGGCAGGGAGCAGGGAGGGGCAAGCCAGGCCCCCTCCCAGGGTAAGGGGAGGAGGGCAGCAGCAGCCCTCCCCTCCCCTGGGAAGGGCTTGTAGAGCCTTGGGGACCAGCCAGAAGGACTCCACCATTTCAGACGGGGCGGAGGGCCCTTTCCTCTGCATAGCTGCAGATGGAGAAGCGCATCCAAA